ATAAAATGTGTCAAAACTTACAAATATTATAAATAACAAATAAACTTAATTCAGCACATTGGCAGCTTTGTTTCACAGAGAAGTCTTTTCATTTTTAAAAACGTGATGTAAAACAATTATTTAAGAGAGATGCTGTGATTTAATGTCAGTAAACGCATCAAGAAAGGTGCCGAAGTAACTACACAATGATACAGAGTAGTACAAAGCAGTGATACGGTCATGTCAGGGCTTTGCACGAGATTTTTTATTTTGCCTTTATTTATACAGGTATAGATCTCATTGAGACACAAGGTCTCATTTTCAAGAGAGACCTGTCAGTGGTAACACTACCACACAAAGTTACAGACAGACAGGACACTAAACACAGAGGCAACACTAAAATACAACATCGTAAAAAAGTAGTCATTAAAATCCATATACAGTCAGATATAGCAGGTGCAAACACCCACAGATGATTTCTCCAGCTTTTTTAAAATGAGTTTAAAATCTGTGGGTATCAAAGTGGTCAGCTTAAGTTCCTGCTGAAGTGTGTTCCAGGTCGAGGGGGCAGAGTATGATATGGCTTTTTTCCCAAGCACCGTGCGTACTGTGGGGACGGACAGAGTGATGTCATGTTGAGATCTTAGTCTATAGCTGTACTGTTTGTGTGATATGTAAGTGGATATGTAGAGTAGAGGGGCAGCAGTCCAAGCATAGCGGTATAGATGAGTTTGTACCAGTGCAGTGATCTGCGCATTGATAATGATGTCCAGTTGACTAAAGCGTACAGAGATGACAAGCAAAACGTATACATTTCTAACACATGGTAACATTGTAGCTGATCCATCAACCCACCATTATGAGGTGCTGAAGACCGCTTGGTGACTTCTGATTTATGTACGTCAGTGAGAACAGGAGCTCAAAAACAATAGGCCAACGTTTTTAACTCAAACAAATATGCCAATGATACGAAATATTCCATCTTAGGTCAAATTTCTTTCTGGCTATTTTGTCTCCTGGTGCACATATGCGTCTTTTGCATCTTTGTGTTGACTTTCAAGGTTATTTTCCATCATGACAAATCTCTTTTGCGTCCGGTGTGAAGCACCATTAATGTAGCAGAAGAATAAAAGGCACTAGGATATCTAACACATGTGTCCAAAAACCTCTCCAGAAATGCACTTAACATTACAAACTGAATCATTTAGGAATATTTATTTAGGGTTTTTGTTCTGTTAAGGTCTGCGGAGGCCTACATTCTAAGTTTTACAACACATTTCTGGCTCAAACATGGGCTGAAGTGGTCAGGCTTTTTCTGTGTTTCATAACTAAATAGTAATGTTATATTTAATGAAAGAGTCTAATACTTTATGTGCTGTATCATGTAAACTGAACTCTTAGTCAAGAGTCTCTGTCCAAAGTAAGATGAAGAAAGGAATGCTTTCAGGGAGGGAGTAACAACATATCATTACTTTAAAGAAGAGCTTTTACTGCAGATGGATCTTCAAATGGACCACAGAGCACGGTGTTAATGGAGGGAGATTTCCCACCATTAGTAATGATCATGTTTATATTGTACTATCTGCTTCATTCTGACTGTATAACAAAAGTAATTCAAAACCTGGTAAGAGGCGCTATGAAGATTAACAAGGTCACTCAGCTAATTAATGGCATTGAAAAGGAAGTTTAATCTACCTACTTTAGAGTCATTTCTGACATGATAAGAGTCAAATTGTAGGATTATTTATTTTTAAAAGGATGGCTCCCATTATTAATCAGTGGCAGAGCATCTTTCCTTGTTAAGGGCAGATTGGGGGCTAGTTTTAGATCAGGAGGACGTCCTGCAGCCGGCTCTTACTGACAGGCTTTTAAATCCTTAAACAAACAGTCTCCAGCTCCCCTCACTGCAGGGTAACATTAACCCTCATCAATCAAACTTCAACATACAGCGGCTTCGCTCTTCAATGCAACAGGTTCGTAACGACTGTACTTCACATGCTGAATCCTCCACAGTAGAGTAAGACCTGTCACAGACTCCTTTATTCTTTAGTCATGGTTCACTTAGGCAATAGATAAAGCTGGAGGGAACACTTGCTCATGCTTGTATGTATGTACGAGTCCCTCATTATGAAATCATCCTTCTGGTTTTCTATCTTGCTATCAACATAAATCATGTGTAAGTGTCGAGGCAATTTGTTAAAGCTTTAAGGTGGGAGCGAACCACACTGCTTATGTTCATCTTGGACCAGCGAACTTCCCAGTGAAAGAAAACGTGTAAACTATGGGAAAACACAAGGCGCTATATCCATTTAGAGGTGCTGAATTTAAAAATGTTGTGATGTCCAAGTCTTTTTATTTTGTATTTGATGTTTGCTTTGCTGAACACATTTTTATCAGCTCATTTCTAAGGGTACTTCTTGTTAAAAGTAAAGACTGTAAACCTAAAGGCCAACATTTGCAACTGGTCAAAAATATTCTTAATTGGTAAACTAATTAATGATAACCATTGCCATATAAACTCCTCGGCCCCAGCACTCTCACTCAAATTGAGTAAGGTCAATAACGGGCAAGAATTTCAGTAATTTCCATTCAAGTGGGATGGCATCACCCCTCAAATCACATTCTGTCTTACTGTGTCGATTCTTTCTTGAGTTTGGTATTTACTTGATTGAACTGGTTCAAGGGAAAAGCCACAGCCTGGCACTCACCACATGACACACACATATTTTTGACAAAGAGAATGACACACAGTTTCTCAGAATACCTCTGCCTGTGGTATAAACAATTAGATCATCATCTCGCGATGCATCTTGATGTATCTAATGTTATTGCCAAGTGATATCAGGTATAACAGCATGGCATCTACACCCAAACAAACACAAAACTACACGACAACAATCACACGTTGCTTTCCTCTTTAATGTTTCTGGTACGTCAATTGAGCCCAGACTTTAGCTCAATCAACCTGTTTTCCCAACAACAGGTTGTTAATAACTGATAAATCACAGTGAGTCACAGCCAGAGAAACTACTCTGCATGTGAGGTCGGTTCTTGGATTTTCTCTACAGAACATAAAACATGTCTCATCTCTTTTTTCTTTCCAGATTGGTTGGCAGTCCCTCCGGTCCTGAACACACACTCATAAACCATAAACACACAATCAGCCATTGTTCCATGTTTCACTTGGAGCAGATGACAATTGCTATCAGACTCCAAACCGACGGCTTCAGCCAAAACACATTAGGGTTCTTTGAAATGAGGCGAGGGTCCCCTCTTGTCACACAGAGAGGACCTTCGGGTTGTAAAGTATGGCCTTAAATGGCAAGTTTCAACACAAACAACACAATGTGACGGTGTGTGTGGAGGTCAGTGGGAGGGCTCACACTTCTTAACACAGTTGTACCTGCTTCACACTGACACACTGTGATGTTGAACACCGGGGTTGGAAGAGGAGGTGATTTTCCCAACCAGTCGTGTAATCCGACAAATTGTCTTTCTTGTTGTAAAAGCTTTCTAGTATCTCACCCTTTGACTCAATGTCATTTTAGGCCAAACACACATTCAGCAATGTGTTCAGAGAGTATTATTCATAATTAACATAAATAAAAATACTTCTTTCAATCTTTGAGCTTTTCCAGGGTGGCAAATACGTTTTTTCTGTAGTGTCAGCTCAAAACAGATTTGATTGTTTGTTTAGTTAAACCAACCGCACATGCTACAATATGATTAATTGACTTTAAAATGATCTAATTGATTCCGCTAAGAAGAAAAATATCGTTCTACTGCGTACCAATGGCAGGAAGTGCGGCATCGACAGCACTGATAGAGGTTTTCTGTAACTGTCCAAGTCTGTTCACATTTTCTTCTTTCTAAGGAGAACAGTTTGATCTTTTAGAAGCCCCGACAGATGGTCCTATAGATGGTTTAAGCAAGTTGTCCTCATATTGGATCAACACAGATTTCTCATGTCATAATGAAAGATTGTGTATTGTTTTCAGGCTTGTTTGTTTTGGTTCGCTACAGAGCACTGCAGTTCTTCTTTTAGTGGAGAGCCTTTTAGAGACTTCCTCTAGCCGAGTCGATTTGATGGATGGATGGATTTACGAAAACAGCTCTTTACAACTGGAAACCAAAACTTAACTCTGGATAATGAGTGTGCATAGGATAAAACTACACCAGAATCACCTTAAGAAATGAAGCATTAAAACAATCTTTACCAGATAAAGACTTCAATGTTAGGAAACTTAACTTGACTTACTGTAACTTAGAGAATCTGCTCTCTGTCTGCTATAAAATGTCCATTAAAAGGGAAAATGTAAAACATTGTACACTGCTGCATTGTTGGCGTACAACATCAACTGGTGATAGAAAACATTTAAAACTAATGGAGGACCGTGTACAAATATAACAACAATAATAAATGTGTAATGTGTTTGTTAGTGTTTAAAACAATTGAATTATGAAAAGCTAAGTATAAGGTGACACATCATGAGCAACAGTTTATTGTGGTTAGTGTTTTTGCAGGAAATTCAATGTCAGTCATATCCTGTTGGCTTAATAAAGCAAGACCGATGCAATGCTGCAAAACACTCATACACAGCGGGGGGGGGTTATGATTACTATTTTCTACTTACCAATGTAATCGTTAAAAACAGCTTCTGGTTAAAAAAGTGCCCAACTTCTCCTTCACAGATAAAAACAAAACATGAGTCACTCTATTACCCTGTGAATTAGTTGTACATTAGGGACCAGTCACATTTCTGATGATGATTTTCTTAATCAACCAAATGAGGAATGTTACAAAAAATATCTATTCGAAGTTTCTGACATGTTTATTCGAAGTTTCTGACATGTGTTTATGTCAGGGACTTCCTGATAATACAAAGTGTATTTGTCTGTGTCTCTCTTTCTCACAACTTATTTCCTGTGTACTGTGAAAGCTAAATATAATGAGGAAGGAGCTTTGATTACATACGGAAGAAAAAGGGGGAAGTGCAGAGATAAAGCTGGGGGTAGAAAGATTTAAGGTAAGGCACGACAGTAATTGGAAAACATAACACTCATACCAAACTGTAGAGACAGAACAGTTTAATAATCTGACCTCAGGATCTCAGCATCGGACAGCAGCACCATGAAGAGGTTTCTGCTGCTCTTCCTCTCACTGATGACAGGTAAAAAGATTACTTATACCGATTGCTGATTTGGATAAAATAAACAATTTTCAAGATATTCTGCATCAAGTTTGAGCTAATTGTTTTATTTTATTGATCATAAGTACATCATATTTATCGATATGAGTAAAATCCTATAGCATCAAATTCTGCTACTGTATTCATTTGGGTATGCATTATATTAATGCACACTATACATCGTTTTTTGTTTTTATTTATTTCATTAAAGTATTACCAGTTCTGTACAACCGTCTCAATATGTTCACATTTGTACACAAGCTACCTCTCATCCACTTTACATAACAATACTAGTTTATTTTTTATTTTATCATATAATTCAAAGTACTTTGCAATAGTATACTGTACGTTATATTTTTGTATATCAACATTTCATGTACATTTTTTTGAGTGATTTACTAATTAATCCTGAAAGTCTGTCCTGATTTAGTTTGAGAATCTGACATGAACGTTTCTCTCTCTCTACAGGCTGTGGGGCCAGCTCTGAGGTGAAGGGATGCAGAGGTGGATGGGTTGATTTTACCTGCGGATACCCTAAAGAAGATGAAATATATGCACGTATTGATTTAGTTAATGACACACAAATAATCATCCAAACCAATGAAAATAATGTGTGGAAAAGCGAAGGAAGATTTTCCGTGTACCATGATAAAGAAAATAAAAATATCAGGGTGGTCATCAAAGAGATTCAACAAGAACAGACGTACAAGTTACATTTTAGACCTGAGCATAGACCTAACAAAAAATACAAAGAAGAAGTGGAATTGGAATTATGTAAGAAATGCTGGATCTTTTTTAGTCTCTCTTATTTGTTGAAGCACTGTGTAACCAAACCCTCAGTTAATACTAAGGTATAATGCATGCAAACTTCAACAAGATATCAACTGCAAATCCAGTCAGAGAAAACGGAAATCAGTTTGATATGAAGCACATGTTAACGGACAGATTTCATGTTTAACTTTTCTTTTTTATTTGCAGATAACGGCTGCCAGGAACCATTAAATAAAACTGCGTACAAAACAGATACAACCATATTCAAATGTGATAAAGAAAACAAAGACGACTTGAGAGTCAAGTTTTTCTGCAAAGAGAACGGTTCAATCTGTGAGGATATTTTATCAACAAAATCTACTCTGAGGTCAAACGTGTTCACTCTCACAGAAACAGAGAGTGGCTTCACTGTGTCCATCAGTAATGTGTCCCCACAGTACGCTGGAGTCTACTGGTGTGGAGTGGAAATAACGAAAACAAAAAAAAATTACAGAGCTGCTCTCAGGAAAATACAACTGGAGGTTAAAGGTGAGAAACTGAATATCTGAGATTAATATTATAGGTGTCTCTGATATAAATTGTTAAATACAGTCCATGCTGTCTGTCTGTCTACATCAAAAACTTCACTAGGTCTGCAACTATTGGACTTAAATGTACCTACACGTTAATATGAAGTAGAAAATGGATGGCTCCCAAATAACAAAGACTTTCATTAATATATGATCATATGATACACTTTTTTTTATATTTGAATGATTTTTTTCTTCCATTTTGTATAATTGTATTTCTCGTTTTCCATGATTTGCAACCTTATAATCTGAGTCTACTTATCAATTTTGTAGTGCATCCAGAATTATTGACAACCTCTAGTACATCATCAACATCCCGTCCTCCAACCACTTTGTCACCTACTGCTTCCTCTACTGCTTCATCTACTGGTTCATCTACTGGTTCATCTACTGGTTCATCTACTGCTTCATCTACTGGTTCATCTACTGGTTCATCTACTGCTTTCTCTACTGGTTCATCTACTGGTTCATCTACTGGTTCATCTACTGGTTCATCTACTGGTTCACCTACTGCTTCCTCTACTGCTTTCTCTACTGGTTCATCTACTGGTTCATCTACTGGTTCATCTACTGGTTCATCTACTGCTTCATCTACTGGTTCATCTACTGCTTTCTCTACTGGTTCATCTACTGGTTCATCTACTGGTTCATCTACTGCTTCATCTACTGGTTCATCTACTGCTTCCTCTACTGGTTCATCTACTGGTTCATCTACTGGTTCACCTACTGCTTCCTCTACTGTGTCAAAAACCCAGTCCAACTCTGCACAGAAAGATGGTGAGAAAACTACTTTTTGTTCTATGAAACATACTGCAGCCATTGCAGGAGGAAGATGATGTTATTAAATGATGTTATTAGAAATGAAACATTCCCACTAAATGTTATATCACAGACTTGATGGGAGTTAATGTTATTTAAAATAAGCTACATGGGTTTTGTCTCCTGCAGGTGTCTCTTGGATTCCTATAGTCGCCGCTGTGGTCTGTGCGGCTCTGCTGGGGCTTCTGCTATTTTTGGTCTTCAGATACAAGCGTAAGAGTTTTCTGATTTTGTATTCACTGGAAGTAGGTGGGCTGGCACACAGTTATTAGATTTATCAATTCATCAATAAATGTAATTATAATAATAAAAGTAATGGGGGTAGGGGCTGGGGGGATTTAGAATAAACACATTAGGGGTAAGTTTTAGAAAATACAGTACTTCTGTAATATATTGAACCAGGGAAATGTGAATAAGTATGGCAAATGTCTGTTTTAACAGCAAAATAAATACATTCAACCACTTTTATCAATTTCTCTGACAGATTCATGTTGTTCAAAAAACAAAATAATTGGAGAAGCACATAACGTGGAGGTAAGGGTCCATATTTGTGTAAAATGTGTGTGTGTGTGTGTGTGTGTGTGTGTGTGTGTGTGTGTGTGTGTGTGTGTGTGTGTGTGTGTGTGTTAGATTTAATTGGCCAACAGTTGGGAGTTTCCTAAACAATATTTCCATGATGATGATTTCCAGTTTGTCACCAACAGCCTTGTTCTTTCACAATAAGCGTCTACAGCCATGCTAGCATACCAACTTATGCTCAACTGTGCCTTGAACTAAATCATTTCCTAATATGTGTCTGAAAAGGGACTTCAAAGGAGTTTAAGCATCAACAAAGTTACCTTTATAGGGATAAACAACGATCTGCTCACAAAATCATATTAAATAATTACAGTCATTCCAACAGCTCTGTTCTTGAGCTAAATGCTAATGTTAGCTATAACTTCTGCCTACTGGTGAGTGCTTCATTATGAGGATGATTATAAAATATCCTTGCTGTTTCTCACTCTGCTGTGGAAGGATCGTGCCTATGACGAGATCCGGGAGCGCCCCCTGGTGACAGGTCCAGGAACTGCACTTCAGTCACTTTATGTCACTGCCAACGCTCCCACAAACCCCTCTGCCTCGCCATATTACTCCACCATCAATGCTCCCACAAACCCCTCTGCCTCGCCATATTACTCCACCATCAACGCTCCCACAAACCCCTCTGCCTCGCCATATTACTGCACCATCAACGCTCCCACAAACCCCTCTGCCTCGCCATATTACTGCACCATCAACGCTCCCACAAACCCCTCTGCCTCGCTTGATTACTCCACCATCACGGCTCACAACATCTCTGCTGAAGCTGGTGAAACATATTCTACAGTGAAGGACCAGGCCCAATCTGCCGCCTACTCTACTGTCAATCATCCATCCAGACTTCCTGAAGACCCTTTCAATTCTTCTGTCAACCACCCACAGCTACAGCAGACCTGAGATACTGTACATCCTTTTCACTTCATTTGTTTCGGATTCAAACCAGGCTTCACACTTCAGTAATAATTTAATAGTTCACTTTGTTTGATTTTAAGTCCTATCTGCACTGATCCCCAACCATGTGATATGATTTCATACAGGTGTGGTTGATAGAAGGTTGGAAATATACTGTTTTAATTAAAAACTTGGCAGCAGGTTTGTGCATTATGGTAAAGTCAGGGGTCCGTAGTAACATATGTATGTGGGAGCATGCTTTAGTATATTGTTAAGGAAATAATACTTTAAATCAGGGGTTCGAAGAATAAGGATTAGTTGGCAAAACATTCATTATGAGTTCAACCTCCATCATTACGAACACAAAACTCCCAAACTTTTGATTTGTGTGCTCTCTGTATGTATGTCAAAAATGTGTGTAATATACACAAATAACATCTGTGCTAAAGATGAGCACTGATATTACTGAATGCTACAGGAATATACTGAATCAAATGTATGCATTTTAGATTAAAGTAATAATCTCATTAATCTGCCCTTTCACTGCAACCTTTCCCCACAGCCTCAGACTGTGATATATTCACTGTATATATTGTAAACTGTTATGCAACATTTATTTCATTTATCTTTTTGAAATCCTTCCTACTTTTTTGACTTTATTTATTAATAAATTATGTCACTTGTTATTTTACAATATCATTCAATACTATATTTCATTTGTATATGTAAAAAATGCTTTTATATTGATAATAAAAAAAGGTTTACATTGAGTTTTTTTTTCTATTAGTGTTATTGCAGGTGTGTATATGCAGTATAGCACAACAACAATAGCTGCACAAGGCTTTGCTGATAGGTAAGATAAATTATAAGAAGAACAAAAAATGTAAACACCTACAGAAAAAAAGAAATGTTTCGAAAAATAAAAAGATTATTTCAGAAAAATGCTTTAAAAGTTTGTGACACTGACACCAGCTCTAGTTTGGCTCCTTTGATTCTGTAAGGTGGTTGTTTCCAATGTCAAAAAGCTACAATAGTAAAACCTTTCTGACTACAGGGGACAATGGTCGTCATCGAACAGTTGTGAACAGTTCTCTAAAACGAGGACCCCTAGGGGTAAATCAGGGGACTGCAGGGGGTACGTAGAAAGATTAAGGATTGCAATTTATTTCCACACAAAAAAACATTTTAAATACATTTTCCAAAACATTTTTGTTTGTTTTCTCTGGATTTTGGGAAACCGTTATTTGATCTTTCTGTCTGTAAATACAAACTGAAAGATTGACAATAAAGTTCCCTTTGACTTGACTTTTGATAAGCCTGGTGTCCTGCCTCCAGTATTATCAAAGCGGTGGTTCCCAAACTTTTTTTCTCCTGTACCCATGGAGTTGGTTCTATAAGAACCCCCTCACACATCTGTGATGATTCGACTAAATGTTTTCACGTGTTAAACCCTTTTAAAATGTATTTAACACAACTGCCCCTTAGATGAACATCACTTGTATAACTCACCCTTAATACAAATGCATTTAAACTTCACATTTAAACTTTAAAATAATAATATCTAGACTCACTTCTAGCAGTTTCAACATATTTTGTTAAGAGCTTTTAGTGAGACACTTGAGCTTGCTTGTCTTTCAGCTTTGAACAACCATTACCAATACATTTATTTTACAATTACAATATAATTTACAATAACAGAGAAAACCGAAGAAAAAAAAGAGGAAGCAGATAAAAAGGGGGCAGGTAATGTTTCCTAACATCTCTTCTCAGGAAACAAGCTGTGCTGAATGTGAGCCCACTGATAAAAGAGGAACTGGATCAGTGGTGCAGAAATAGTTTTTGCTCTGAGGATTTCAGCATCCAAGACTATCACAATGAGGAGCTTTCTGCTCTTCCTCTCGCTCTTTACAGGTAAAATATGAATTCTGTCTGATATCAGAGACTTGATAAGAAATTAACCACTTTCCATACGTCCTGTGGTGTAGTTACTCCGTCTGTATTTCTATATGTTAACACATGTCACTCTAGGCTACTGCAGCAAACTAATACTGATACCAGTTTTCTGCTCCTCATTATGATTATTTCATTTAACAAATCAGTGCCAAATAACTTATCATTAAAGGTTTCTATGTATTTCATGTAAATACGCTGCTTAGAGCAGATTTTGTGACAGCTTGTTCGTAAAATAACACAAAAATCACTTTTGTCGGATGATATTTATGTGTAACTTAGATTGTTGACTAAATAAACATGTTAACATGTGTTTCTTTATTTGAACAAGTATTCAGACTTATTTATTGAGGTGCTATATATTTAAAATGTGGAAATCAAAGGCAGAAGTGGAAGGCACTTAGGCTTTTTTTGGCCACTGTAAATTCAGAAGAAAATAGAGTTAGGGTTTTTTAAAGAAATGACCAAACAGGTGCTGGTGATAACAAGTCAAGCCGTCTTAACTCTGGCAGCAGGGAATTATCTGTGCTGTATCTAAATGCTACAGCCTATAGTAAGTGACAATACATTTGTAGGTGCTTGTGTTGATGTAAAGGTATTTGCTAATGTATGTGAATATGACGGTATCGGACTTGTGTCTTTAAATGTTGGATGTCACTCTATCCAAATATATGCACCAACCACAGCCTGTATGACCAGCTACAGATAATTATGTGAAATGTACAGATGTCACGGACCACATAAAATAACAAAAAATCTCAAACGTTTTGATTCAATTGAATTTAATCCAGCCCTTAAACAACAGAAACAGTTTTAATCTGTACTTACTTTGTATTGGTTATTTTGGAGAAGATAACAATTACCTATTATCAAATGTATAAATGGCAAATTTTCTGAAATTCTTGGCAAATTGTTGCTTATTTAACATCCCTTAGAAACAGAGTCAAGTCTTTCTCTTTGGCTCTGTTTGTGGTCTCCACCATCTCGACAGGGAAGTATATATTAGCTTTTATCCGTCCAACAGAAGGGAAATATTCAAAAGCAGTTTAAAGCTTTAACACAAAATGATCTACTTATTGATCCCGAAAGTGTGTCCTGAGAATCTGACATATTTTTAACTCTTTTTTTGTTTTTGTTTGCTCTCTCTCTCTCTCTCTCTCTCTCTCTCTCTCTCTCCTCTCTCTCTCTCTCTCTCTCTCTCTCTCCTCTCTATCTCTCTCTCTCTCTCTCTCTCTCTCTCTCCTCTCTCTCTCTCTCTCTCTCTCTCTCTCTCTCTCTCTCTCTAGGCTGTGAGGCCTCACCTGAGTTGAAGGGATGCGACGGTGGATGGGTTAATTTTACCTGGAAATACACTGAAACAAATATAATTAATATTGATGTATTTCAGAACAAACTTTCCATCATTAAAAGTACTCAGAAAGACACGTGGGAAAACAAAGAGAGACTTTCCGTGTACCATGATGCAACAAATAAAAGTATCAGATTGGGCATCAAACAGCTTAAACGTTCAGACGCAGGGGAATACAGGTGGGAAACAAAACCTAACCAAAATTCAGAAGTGAAATTGAAAGTTGGTAAGAAATGCTGCATCTTGTTTTATTAATTTATCTTGTCCTCTGTTACTGTGTTAAATACTAACCAAACCTTCAAAGAACTAAAGTATCATGCATGTAAACGTAACATTCCTCATTCAGTCATCTATTTTTAGTCGTCATCTACAGAGCAATTTGCTATAAAGCCGACATATCACACAGATTTTAGTTGTGCTTCCATTTTTTAGTTGCAGATGAAGGGGGCTGCAAGAAACCATTTAATCAAACTGCGTACAGAACAGCTAAAACCTCCATCACGTGTGACGAAGGAAAAAAAGAGGACTCCAGATTCAACTTTTTCTGCAAAGAGAACGGTTCAATCTGTGAAGATATTTTATCAACAAAATCTGCTCTGAGGTCAAACGGGACGTTCACTCTCACAGAAACAGAGAGTGGCTTCACTGTGTCCATCAGTAATGTGTCCCCACAGCACGCTGGAGTCTACTGGTGTGGAGTGGAATCAACTGAAGGAAGTTACAGAGCTGCTCTCAGGAAAATACAACTGGAGGTTAAAGGTGAGAAACTAAATATCTGAGATTAATGATAAAGGTTTCTCTGATTATGTTGTTAAATACAGTCCATGCTGTCTGTCTGTTTCCAGCTGCTATCAAAAACTTCACTAGGTCTCCAACTATTGGACAGAATATGACATACTGGTGTCAATATCCAGAGGGTGCTCCAGTAAAGAAGTTCATCTGTAAGGGAGAAGATCCATCTAAATGTGAACATGTAGTCAGCACTGCCCAGAACACTGAGAGGTTTTCCATGATTGATGAAAAAGAGAAGAGAAACATCACCATAACAGTGAGAGGCGTAACAAAGGAAGACAGCGGGACATACTGGTGTGGAGCAGAAAGCAAGACTGAAACACAAAGCAACTCCTTCTTCAACAGATTTCTGATGACTGTTGGTGAGTTGTGTTATTTTATGTTGTGGATGTTATCTGCCCTGGTTCAGATTGTAGGAGAGTCAAGCATTGATGGCTAGCATTCAATTCAATTCAATTCAAAACCTTTATTTATCCAGGTAAAATCCCATTGAGATCAATGATCTCTTTTTCAAGGGAGACCTGCAGCAGTAGGTTCCACAAGAAGACATAAACAACAGAACAACAAAAGGACATCATACAGCAAAATGTACAGGGATTACAATTTACATATTTAACCACAAGTACAGGTACCAACAGCATCTGATTTTGTAGCATCTAACCGAGCTTTAAAAACATGTAGTGGTACAAGCTTGGTAATTTTCCATTCTTTTTGCAGACTGTTCCATGTTAGTGGAGCTGCACATCTAAAAGCTTTCTTCCCTAAGACAGTCCTAGCACTTGGCACATTTAATAAAACCACAGCATGCGATCTCAGGCAATAAGTACTTTCAATTTGCAGAGAGATCAGGGAGCAGATATAAGATGGTAGTTTATCCAACATGGCTTTGTAAATGAAAAAGTACCAGTGACTGAGCCTCCGTATAGTAAGTGATGGCATAACCGCCTTGGTATACAGGGTACAGTGATGCGTAAGTGCTTTACAATTTGTCAAACATCTCAGTGCACTGTGATACGCAGCATCTAACTTGCTCAGGTAATTGGCAGGTGCATTCATATATAACAAATCACCATAGTCCAGCACAGGTAAAAAGGTCACAGTGACTAGCCTTTTCCTGGCCTCAAGCGAGAAACAGGACTTATTTCTGTAAAAGAAACCTAGCCTAACCCTCAGCTTTTTAAGCAGGTTATTGACATGAAGTTTAAAAGTGAGACAGTCATCAAGCCAGATACCCAAGTATTTGTAACAGGTAACCACTTCAAGTTGTATTTCTTGCGTAGTTACAATATCCAAAGCAGTCTCTGGTGTATTTTTAGCTTTAGCTTTAGAAAAGAGCATTACCTTGGTTTTATCCACATTTAAAAGAAGCTTAAGCTCAGAGAGCTGAGCCTGAATAATGTTAAAAACAGCCTGTAATTTAACAACAGCCTCGTTAATCGAGGGACCTGCACAGTACATAACGGTATCGTCCGCATAAAAATGTAAGGTTGCTCCTTCGACATTTTCACCTAAACTATTAATATAGATAGAGAATAATAGCGGACCTAAAACTGAACCTTGTGGTACACCATTAGTGATGTTTAACCACTCAGAAGACAGCATTAAAACAAAGCTACAGTTTTCTTGATCACACATGTTTTTTTTTATGTGCTTTTGATCTGTTGAGTTTCACGGAAAAAACTAATTACTAGTAGAGGAAGAAATCGTTAAGGTTATGTAAAAGCAGTAATGCTCCTTTGCTCGTCCTAACCATATTATTTTATTTTTTATTTTAGATTGTTAAAATTTGAAATCAAAGCTTCATTGATAAAAAAAACAACCCACAAATATTTTTAACCAAAGATTGTTGTATACATTTTACTGACAACTTAACAAATTAAGAGTTGAACAGGCTGTAATTACACCATATCCTTTGGACTTGATCAAGAAATCAAACAAAGGCAAAAAATTCAGGTGACAAATCAGCACTGTTTTAAAAGCTCCGGCAAAAATCAGTGTTGGATTAAGAATTCACAATTGAAATATCTGAGAGCGTTAAATACAGTGTGTAATGTTTTTCTTCATTTGTAAGCTTTCATGTGTAACTTCAATGCACTTTTTTTCAGTGCAACCACCGACACCCACATTTCCTGTTTCTTCAACGACTACTGCATTTGCTGAGAGTCGTGGTAAGAGAGCCCTTTTGACATCTTAAGCCTTCTGCAGCGGGAAACTGTTTCTACATTTTTTATCTGTGAAATTCCTGCTTGATATTTTCTTTGCGTGTTTGCAGATGGCCCTCATGTCGTCATTACTGTGATCATATGTGTATCCGCGCTGCTGCTGTTTGTGCTCATGCTGATCCTGATCTACACACGTAAGCGTTTTGAAACATTCAAAAAATGTCTCACACGGTACATCACGACATCTGCATCCTGTACGCAGGGGATGACTAATGCGGCTTTCACACCAGCGCTTTTCCCTTTCTAGCTCCGAGCGGGAGCTTTTCTGGTTCAGCTCCAGTTTCCCTTTTCTGCTCCCGCTCTGTTCACACCGCCCAGAGCCCGATTGGGTGCTGCCGCTGCTGCGTCATGACGTCACCGTTTACATCGCTGATTTGCTCCCCAACGGCGTTACGGCGCTCACAACAACAACAACTGCGTCGGGTCGATGATCGTGTTGCTTTTAATCACACGAAGCCAGATTAAATTAAATAACGACTTCTCCAACCTCATACTTTTCTCCAGAGTGCCGTAGTTCATTGTTTATTAATGTGTTTCTGTGCCATTTACCGACCGCTGCAGTGTTGGCTGCTCTTCCACGGGAGTTTATTCTCCCGTTAGCTCTAAAGTATTCACTGTCCGACTCACACAAGCAGCTGATACATATCCCCAGTTCCCCTGAATGTGTGTCAGTCTGAATTGACGCTGTTTGGCATCACAACGCTGTTATGAAAGTTTCTCTGGTATAAAATGGGTGATGTTAGCATAGCAACCGAAGCTAAACTGACTACTTGCTATTGCTATCCTATTGTGGCATAAACCGTTTTCTACAGGCACATTTTACCAGCGTATTTTTATTATGATTCTACTTGTGATAGTCGGACACGACAACCTGTGCAGCCCATGTATTGATTCCATCCGATAGCTGCTATAATACAAAACAACACGTCTGCCTCTCTCCACAATGATCAATAACAGTGAACGGATGGTCAAAGTAAGGTACAAATAAACAGAATCACACGAAGCCTGGTTAGTGTTGCCTGACTTTATAAAGTGTGTTTATAAGCACTACTGCTTGTAGGCAGGCATGACAGTCGACCCATGTTCAGGGGAGGAGGGTTTAGTTTCCTGCACGCCTCGACGTAAGAGAGACGTAAGCGACGCCACCTCTTAGCTCCGAAGCTCTTGCCTCTAGACCGACAATTTTTTGGAGCTGGAAGTGAACCGGATTCCAGAGCTAAGAGCCGGCGCCGCTGCGGTGTGAACAGGAAAAACCGGCGCTTTTCAGGCTCCAGCTCCGAGCCGGAGCTGAAAAAGCGCTGGTGTGAAAGGGGCATAAGAGAGCAAAAGGAGATAACAGTCCACTTTGGAGGTTGATTTTCATTCTAGATTTCATATTTGCTCATTTCTGCTGATAGACAATCCCACTCCAGATCCAAAAATACAAAATCATCAGCAATTGTCAATTCGTAACTGAATAGGGCTTCAGAAGCGTGTTGTAAATTAGGAAGATAAAGAGTCAACTGTAGTTCAACTATCAAAATATTTGATCATTTTTCTTGTTTATGTTAACTTTGTTTTCTGCTAGGCTTCTCAAAAAATAAAAGAGATGCAGCAGCAGCGCAACACGACAGAGAGGTAAGTGTACATCCTGTGCTTTGGGGCGGCGGTGGTTCAGTTTGTAGGGGCTTGGACGTTGGACCGAGTTCACCTCCTGGGCCACTGCGAGGTGCCCCTTGAGCAAGGCACCGGACCCCTAATTACTCCCTGGCCCTGTTTCTAGAGGCTTTCTGAAGATAATCATTATTTCGAATTTGCCAAAATAATTCTAATTAATTAATTAATTTAGTTTTCACGTTTTTAGTTCAAGAGGTATAATTTGATCATTTGTTTTGAGATTAAAGTCAGAATTCTGGCTTTTTTCAAATCAGAAAACTGACTTTAATCTCAGAACAGAACAAAAAAATCACTTTCAAATATTTGTTTACATGTGGCCCTTATCCTCTTCCGTAGATATGCAGATGAAAATGTAAAGATTTAAAGTTACTCTGTGATAGTTAATTAAATCATTGGATGCACAGAGACAATCACAAAACTAATGTTTTCACTAAAGAAACTCTAATTAATTTATGTCTACAACGTTAAGCACACTTGGAATGTTTAGTGTTTATTGTTGTATTGAATCAACTTTATTTTTCATTCTTTCCTGGAAGGATTATATCTACGAGGAGATACAGGAGCGCCCCCTGAAGCCAGACTCAGGAAATGCTATAAACAAGATTTATTCCACAGCCAACTTTCCCACAAACCCCTCTGCCTCGCTGCATTACTCTACCATCAACTTTAGAAACGGCTCTGGTGAAGCTGCTGAGGTACTGATGACCAATCCCAGCTCCTCTGCATGTGAATATTCTGCTGTGAAGGACAGAGAAATACCAACCTGCTCTAATGTGAACCAGCCCTCTCCAGCAGACCCTCTCTACTCTACCGTCAACAAGACACAGCAGCAATGAGGAAAGACCAGGCAGGGAATTATAATATCTACTAAATGTTTGACCATCAGCTAATTCATGTTTGATGTTATTTACAGTGAGAACCAGATCAGACTTCAGGAATTACACACAGATATTAGGATGTTAGGACCTGAATCCTGATATTCACTCAATCATCCACTTTGTTTATTGTTGGAAATCGTGAAGAAAGGACTGGAAAATTATTTGAAAGACATTTTGTTTTTCTTTTGCAAGCAGCATCATTAGGCAACTTATATTTCATGTCAGACGTATTGATATTGTGTCAGAACAGCAGGTTTAATTGTTACAGTTGTTGAAAGTGTTATATCTCAAATGCACAAAAGAGAACTAACTTGTGAAAGTACAAGCTGCCACTTTTGTTCAACCAAACGTTATCCAACTACAAAAGCCTTAAGCTGCATTCACATGATACACCATTTGCTCCTTGCTGAACACGAGGTTGGATGCAGAGCCTTGTGGTGAAAACAGCTGGATACGTTTTTTTTCTATAGCTTATTTCCCCACTTAGCATAAGCAATCATTTTAACTTTGATCAGTGACAACTTTGAACTCTTTCCATAGAGACACAGCGACAACTTGATTTTATATTGATAATAAAAAAAGGTATACCTTTGAATCGAGTGAGCTTAATGATCCTTTAATTGATATTGCACAGTGTTTCCCCTACAGTATATACAAATAGCGGTGGCGCAGCGCCGCAGCTGAATTTTTTTTTTAGTATTTGTGTTACTGTATGTTCAATAAAGGTGTATTTTTGCTAAATCTTGAGACATTGCCACTGTATGTACTCGCAGGGCCAATTTTTGGCATAGGCGGTCGCCTAGGGCGCCAGATCTGGGAGGGTAAACATTTTTTTTGACCGTTGGCGCTCATCCTAATTTTTGGCCTTGATGTAACAACATTCATAATTAAGTAAATGTAACACCCTTTTCACCCTGGTTACACTTTTCATTTGCCCTGTACGATGGGCGCTGGAAGTGATGAAAGTGGGGGATGTTGGCTTATCAGGCGCCCGCAGCTCACAGCCAAAGTGCGAGCGTGGAAGCGAGAGAGCGAGCAAGGGAGAGAGCGAGAGAGAGGGTGCACCGGTACCGGCGCTGTTGTTATTAGAATCTGGTGCTAGCTGCACTAACGGATATAAGAAGTAGATGTTTCTACAACCAGGGTGGAGGAGAGCTCTCCTGTCAGACTGAGAGGCTCAGTGAGGTAAAGGACTCTGAGTGTTTAGATAGTTAATTGTAGTCTAAGTTATCTCAGTGGGTCTCAAACAAATATGTGTTTACAAATTATGTAAACACATATTTCCAAGGCACTCCTTTATAATTATTAGGATAAATAAAAACAGGTTTGAAATAATTCTAATGTATACTATAGGACAGCAAACCAAAAATATCGTTTAAAGTTGGAGAGATACAAAAATATGCATAAATAAATAAATGTTAACTAGGTAAAATAAGATATAAATGAACAACAAAAATAAAATAAGTTACATTTATTTGTTATTGGCTATGGTAGGTTATTGGTTATGTTCACATACTTATTTGATTATTAAAATGTAAACCGATCTTTTTCATATGGGTGTTTTAGAGTTGTACCCCCTAGATCAGGTCTCTAGTAATGGTCTGCTCAAAGTGCACCAGATTGAAGCATTTTACTTGTGTTCAAGAAAATCTTCCCGGGGGGGCATACCCCCGGGCCCCCCTAGAGGATGTGACGTTCTCCCCCCAATTAAAACATGTTCATACAATACTGAATATATTTGAAGCCATTTTGATATATTACCTATGTCAATACGTTTCTGTTTTTGTAGTGTATTTGTCTTGTGTAGAGATGTTTCATTTATTCTTTATATATAAAATCTCGCCTAAAATCTCGTCTAGGGCAGCAAATTGGCTAGAACCGGCCCTGGTACTAGGCCTCAAGAGCCTTTCTTGTGCTGGCACACACATAGAAACAAATTGGCGGGGCGCACTTCCCACGCGCACGCACTAAAAAATTCCACGCGCTCCACGCTCACATTATGCTGGGCCCACGTGCCTTAGCACCGCTGCTATGACTCCATCCTAGGGGAAACACTGTTGCAGATGTGTATATGGCACCGAACAATAGTGCTTTACTCAGAGAAGCAAAAATGAATTAATAGAACACCAAAATTAAAACACCAACAGAGAAAAATGTAACAATATTTCAGAAAAATGCAAAGAAAGCTTGGCTCCTTTGAGACTTTATAGGGGCTTTTCCAAAGTCAAAGAGCTCCTCTAGTAAAAGTAAAGGGACATTTTTTTCTCATTAGAACCTCAGGTTTGACATAATGTACGTTTTTCTGTTTGTATGTTTTTTTGGGAAAGAGGTTTGATTTAAATAAACATTCCTGATATCACATTCATTCTTCTTCAAAACAACAAAGGGAAGAACATTTCTCCTACACTCTCATCTAGTAACCTTTCTAACTCTATAGGGCTCAAACCTCATTATCTAGAACACTTCCCTAAACAACCATAACCAATATTAAAATAACACAGGGAACTACTTAGTGACATTGTTTAACTTTACATTTGCATTGTGATAAACAGTAATGCTCGGATGTTGCTTAAATTGCTTTGAAAAAGTGCAATTTTGAACCAAGTTAATTTTGATCGTGAAGTCCAGGGCTAGTGATACATTAATTAACAGTTACCAACAACAATCTGTTTGAGCACAAGCTATGGGGCTGATAGTAATAACGCTGTCAAATACAAAAACACACGGACGAGAGAAGAAAGATGAAGGAAGAAGATAGGGTACTTTTAGCTAACCCAACATATCATCACAGGAAACTCATCTGTGATCAATATCAACGCAAAGATAAAAAAAAGGTTACAGTGCAGAGAATATTCTCACTGAAGATTTCAGCATCCAAGATCATCACAATGAGGAGCTTTCTGCTGTTCCTCTCGATAATTACAGGTAAAATATGACTTCTGTCTGACTCCTGATATCAGAGACTTTCTGATTCTTGTCATGAATATTTAATTTAAGAAATCAGTTCCAAATAACCTATAATTCAAGGCTTTGATGTATTTTATTTAAATCTGCAGCTATAATAGCCGATTTTTGTGATATTCCGTTTTTTAGTTTTGGTCGTATTGCCTGGTCCGATTGTTTTGTTGTTAAACAGTTTCTTTCATCAGCTTTTCGTAAATAAAAGCTTATTTTTGGTTATCTATTCCTGCCTCACTTTTACTGCGTTTGAGTCCGACATCCGGGCCAAAGCCCCGACATAAAGTCTCTGTTCAATTGTAAGAATAAGAGGCCGTTAAATACATGTTTATAACTGATGGATATCACTCATTATTAATATATCCACAAATCAAAGCCTGTATGACCAGCTACAGATTATTATTTAATATTTTCAGACACCATGGACCGGATAGAGCCACTGAAAATCAAAAAACAAATCTAATTTAGTCCAGTGTATATCAGCCTCTAAAGAACAGGAACATAATCTGTATTAACTATAAAGAGGTTATTTGGGAGAAATCATTTACTTGTTATCATATATAAAGTTGGCAAACTTTTTAAAATTCTTACATTATAGTTGCCTATTACCCCTCCATTAAAAGGAGTAAGAAATAATGTATTATAAGAGTCTCGTATTTTATCATAGCAGTTTAAAGCTGTACCAATGTATTCAATGTATTCATTCATCCTGAAAGTGTGTCCTGAGATAGTTTGAGAATCTGACATGTTGTGAACTTTTCTCTCTACAGGCTGTGAGGCCTCTAAAGCGTGGGGATGCAGAGGTGGATGGGTTAATTTGACCTTGGATTACCATGAACCAAATGAAACATATACAAGTATTGATGTAGTTTTAGTTGGAAAGCAAATCATTCAAATCACTCAAAATGACACGTGGGAAAACAATAAACACTTTTCCGTGTACCATGATGCAACAAATAAAAGTCTTAGGGTGGGCATCAAACCGATTACATGGGATGACTATGGGTGGTATAAGTTTAAATGTAATAACGACCAACAATCTCACTCCAAAAGAGACCAAATTGTTGGAATGCACATTCGTAAGTAATGCTGCATCTTTTATCTTTTGTTACTGTGTTAAAGACTAAACACATTTTCCAATAACTAAGGTAACATGCATGCAAACTTAAAACATATGATTCCACCCTCAGTCATCTGCATAACTTTCCAGTTAGACAAAATGGAAATCAGTTTGCTATAATGCCCACACAACGGAGAGAGAAGTTTGACTTTTCTTATTTTTAGTTACAGATGAAGGCTGCCAAGGACCATTAAATCAAACTGCGTACAGAACAGCTAAAACCACCATCTCATGTGGAAAGAAAGGGATCACTCCAGACTCCAGATTCAAGTTTTTCTGCAAAGAGAACGGTCCAATCTGTGATGATATTTTATCAACAAAATCTGCTCTGAGGTCAAACGGGATGTTCACTCTCACAGAAACAAAGAGTGGCTTCACTGTGTCCATCAGTAATGTGTCCCCACAGCACGCTGGAGTCTACTGGTGTGGAGTGGAATCAACTGATAAAGAAATAAGTTACCGAGCTGGAAACAGGAAAATACAACTGGAGGTGGAAGGTGAGAAACTAAATGTTATTATGTAAATAGATTAATACGACTGTATAAATACAGTCAATTGTGTATGTGTGTTAGTCTGTCTGCAGCTACTACTGACTTAACTAGGTGTGCAACTATTGGGAGGAATTTACATACTGGTGTGAATATCCCCAGAAATTAACGACTTGATCGCAAGCATGAAAAGAAAGCTGCAGAAATTCCTTCTATATAGATATTTTCTGACACATTTTTTGCATTTTGTCTACCCAGTTAAATACATATCCAAATGTACCTTCTAACAATTCTTATTCTGAGTGAACCTTTCATTTGATAATATAAGATTGAATTGTCTGAGAGTCGTGGTAAGAAAGATTTTTTGATAGCATAATGCTATTTTCTGTGACATTCCTGCATGTTTTTATTTTGTTGTGTTTGTTCATTCATTTGAAAGCTTTCATGTGTAACTTCAATGCACTTGTTTTTTGGTTTCAGTAAAACCTACACCGACATTTCCTGTTTCTTCAACGACTACTGCATTTGCTAAGAGTCGTGGAAAGAGAGCCTTTTTGACATCTTAAGACTTCTGCTGTGGGAAAACGGTGAAATGTTCGGTGAAATTCCTATTTGATATTTTCTTTGTTGTGTGTTTGCAGATGGCTCTGATATCGTCATCCACGCGATCATCTGTGTAGCCGCCGTGCTGCTGCTGCTGCTACTTGTGATCAATTTGATCCTGATCTACAAACGTAAGCATTACTACCGGTTTGGAACATGTTAATCATGCACATGATACACTCAGAACCAGTCACGACAGCTCCATCCTGTAAGCATCTGATTACTTAAAGGCTAAGTAGATAAAATACTTTAGTTTTTGTTATGTCTGGAAGTTGACTTTTAGTCTGAAGAAAATCCTACTTCAAATATTCAAATACAAAATGATCACTTCTTAAATAAATAGTGCAGCAGAGATGCCTGTTGTAAATTAGGAAGACAGAAAGTCCACTGTGTCTCAATGTAATGAACGTGTTGGAATAACTTAGTGTATTTATTTTTGCCTGTTCATGTTTACTTTGTTCTCTGCTTCATCTTTCTGCTAGGATATTCCAAAAACAAAAGAAATGCTGCAGCAGAACAGCACGTCACACAGGTGAGTTCATTAATCATTATCTGTGCTTTGTGGTCATTTAAGCTGGTTGTAGGAGCCTTATTAATTACATTTTATGTCCCTTTGCTTCTATAATGCAAATGAGAAAATAATCCGATACCAACCTGCCGATTCCTCATTGAAGAACAAGTTTCTTATCCACACTGTATAGTCCGTTTAGTATTAGGCTAAAGCTCCTACACTGATGTTTATATTCCTGTAAATATCCAGCAAAAGATAAACTATGAAAACCCCAATGATGCCAGACTCAAGTTTCTTCTTTGTTTGAAATACGAAATAAAAAATCGACACTTATAGTATTATTTGTAATTATTATAAACACACTGTTGAGTAGCTAAAAAAATGTTCACTATATAATATATTTGGAGTATGTACAGTGGAGGAAATAAGTATTTGATCCCTTGCAGATTTTGTAAGTTTGCCGACTAACAAACAAATAAACATTCTATAATTGTAATGGTTTATTTTAACAGTGAGAGAAAGAATATTAAAAATAAAATCCAGAAATTGACATCATGTAAAATAAAAAAATTGATTTGCATTTAACTGTGGGAAATAAGTATTTCATCCCCTCGCAAAACATGTCTTAGTACTTGGTATGAAATGATTTCCCGTGTTATTATTTGATATGCACGAGGATATCTACATATCTGAAGTTGCTTTAAAAGTGTTGATGAAAAGTTGAATTGAATGAATTCTGTTCTCTATTCTTTACTGGAAGGATTATATCTACGAGGAGATACAGGAGCGCCCCCAGAAGCCAGACTCAGGAAATTCATCAACCACGTTTTATTCCACGGCCAACTTTCCCACAAACCCCTCTGCCTCGCAGCGTTACTCTACCATCTACTTTAGAAACGGCTCTGGTGGAGCTGCTGAGGTACTGATGACCAATCCCAGCTCCTCTGCATGTGATTATTCTGCTGTGAAGGACGGAGAGATACCAACCTGCTCTAATGTGAACCAGCCCTCTCCAGCGGACCATCTGTACTCTACCGTCAACAAGACACAGCAGCAATGAGGAAAGACCAGGGAGGGAATTATAATATCTACTAAATGTATGACCATCATTTTAGCTAATTCATGTTTGATGTTATTTACAGTGAGATCCAGATCAGACTTCAGGAATTACACACAGATATTAGGGTGTTAGGACCTGAATCCTGACATTCACTCAATCATCCACTTTGTTTATTGTTGGAAATCGTGAAAAAAGGACTGGAAAATTATTTGAAATAGGTTTTTTTTGGGCATTAGGCAACTTATATTTCATGTCAGACATATTAATATTGTGTCAGTAGAGCAGATTTAATTGTTACAGTAGGGGCGACTGAAAGTGTTACATCTCAAATTGCACAAGAGAACTAACTTGTGAAAGTACAAACTGCCACTTATAGTCAACCAAACGTTATTAAAATAAAAAAGCCTTAAGCTGCATTCAAATGATGCTCGATTTGCTGCTTGCTGAACACGAAGTTGAACGCAGAGCCTCTTGGTGAAAACAGCTAGTTAAGTTTTGTTTCTATAGCTACTTCCCCACTTAATATAGCTGTCATCTGATTGGTTGTGCATCGAAAGGTCAGCAGTAAACATTGTAGAGGTTTAAATAATCTTTACTTTGATCACAGTGCCTCGCTCCATAGAAACACACAGGCAACTTGTGTTTATATTGATAATAAAAAAGGATTACCTTTGAATCGACTGGTCTTAATTATCCTACAGTTGATATTGCAGATGTGTATATGGCACCAAACAATAGTTACAAAGTGCTTTACTGAGAGAATCAAAAATGAATTAATAGAATACAAAATGTATAAAATAGCAGAAGTTTCTGACAGCTCTAGATTGGCTCCTTAGAGACTTTATAGGTGCTTTTTCAAAGAGCTACATTAGTAAAGTTACCTTTTTTACTCATTAGAAACTCAGGCTTGACATCATGTACGTTTTTCTGTTGTAATGTTTTTTTGTAAAAGATGCTTTTTTTTAAATAAACATTCCTGATATCACATTCATTCTTCTTCAAAACAATAAAGGGAAGAACATCTTCTACACTCTCATCTAGTTGTCACAAACCTTTCTAACTCTATAGGGCTCAAACCTCATTATCTAGAACACTTCCCTAAACAACCATAACCAATATTAAAATAACACAGGGAACTACTTAGTGACATTGTTTAACTTTACATTTGCATTGTGATAAACAGTAATGCTTGGATGTTGCTTAAATCGCTTTGTGCAATGTTGAACCAAGTGTCATGGGTTGAGTGAAGCAGGCAGAACCCAAATGCAGAATAAACAGAAAATACCTTTATTTCAAGGTTTTAAATAGGAACAAACAGAACACTACCCCGTGAACACAGTCATAGACTAACAATGACAGACAGAAAAACCAGAACTTAAATACACACAAGACTAATTACACAAACAAGACACAGGTGAGGAGGGAGGAGAAAACACAGGGCACCAGGTGAACACAATCGGGTAATCAGGTAGGAGGGGAAACAGACAGAAAGCAACAGGCAAGACAGGGGGTGAACACTTTTCAAAATAAAACATGAAACCAAAGACAGAAAAAGACAAGACAAAACACAACACAGACAGATCGTGACATTACCCCCCCCCTCAAGGGACGGATCCCAGACGTCCCAAAACACAAAAAGTAAAAAAAAACAAAAAAACGTCCAGCAGGGTAGGTGGAGGAGGACCGGAGGAGGGACACAAAACTAGGGCCACAAGGGTGGGTGGAGGGGGTCTGGAGGACGGGTTTGTGCTGACAGCCTAGGGGCACAGCGGAGGACCCGGAAGTGATCTCGGGCGGACGGCCCGGGGGCAAGGCAGAGTTCATAAAGGGGCGAAGGCCACAGCGGGCGAACTCAGGGGATCGGGCATGAGGGCGAAGGCAGCGGCTGGAAGAGTCAGGGGGCTGGGCCCGAGGGCGAGGCCCGCGGCCGGGAAAGTCAGGGGGGCGGGCTCGAGGGCAAAGACCGCGGCACTCAGGGGGCCGTGCTTGAGGGCGAAGACCGCGGCTGGGGAACTCAGGGTGCCGGACACAAGGACGGGCAGGAGTTGGTGGAACCCCTGGCTGGTCAGGCGTAGACGGGAGCCTGGACGGAACATGGGCTGGTGTCAGTGGGACCCACGACGGAGCAAGGGCTGATGTCGATGGGACACCAAACAGGACAGGACATGGTGTTGGCAGGAAACCCGGCGGAGCACGTGTCGGCGGGACCCCCAACAGGACAGGATATGGTGTTGGCAGGAAACCCGGCGGAGCAGGTGTCGGCGGGACCCCCAACAGGACAGGATATGGTGTTGGCAGGAAACCCGGAGGAGCAGGTGTCGGCGGGACCCCCAACAGGATAGGATCTGGTGATGGCAGGAAATTCGGCGGAGCAGGTGTCGGCTGGAGGCTGTTATATTGTTTTTTTTAATATTGTTTTTGACTTATTGTGTTATTAATAACGTGTGCATACTTAGCCATCCTTTTATTTTTTTCTTGACCTTACCTGCACGATCTGCTGTTCATGAACATTTCCACGATGCGGGACAAATAAAGGACTTCTGATTCTGATGCAAACTAGATCTTCATGAAGGCCATTTGATGAGGCATTCAGAACGTTCCCTATTGCATCAGTAGAGTGTTTGCCATCAGCATCATGAGGATGTGACAGGTGCATTATATTTTAAGCTTTTAAATGATAGGCAGTCTGTGTGTGTAAGAAGCCTCACAATATGCAGAGGAATGATGCACAATAAGGGACACTGAAGTGGAGACTTCTGAGGAGGAGAGGTGGATTGTAAAACTCAGACATGGTGTACACACTACAGGAGAATAGGGTAAACAATAAACTAACAGATATCACCATGAAACCCCCCACTTCATTACGGACATTAACACAGTTATCTTTTACATTACAAGTTTTCTGACATGTCATGTTTAAATATGTTCATGAAGAGTTATGTAATGCTAACTTTTGAGGAGTTTGTTTACCTAAAGTGATGTAGTGTGTGTGTGTGTGTGTGTGTGTGTGTGTGTGTGTGTGTGTGTGTGTGTGTGACAGACAAAGACAGTAAAACGTAATCCTTAATATGGATTTTGGATGTTTGAGTGGATTACAGAAAACATCATTAAATCCCACTTTATTATTATTTATGTTAATTATTATAACGTGTTACATCACATTATTTTTGTATTACTCTGTATATTATATAACCATTTCTTATATTAAATGATCTTATCAAGTTGTTGTGAATGTGTTTGCTAACAGGCCAAAGTTTCTCTCCTCAGGGGACTAAGGAGAAACCTTTTTTGTTGACCGCCTCGGACCAATTACTGAGATAATCACCTCAGCTACTCAGCAGCTCAGGTGAGTGTGTGTTGTGTTTGTGAAAACAGAGCCCCCCCCCCCCCCCCCGCGACTCACTGTGACCACTGGGTCATAATTAGCTCTATGTACACTGGGTGTAGTCCGGAGAGGGGGGAGGGGCTCTAAAGACCCTCATTACATCAGCTTCTGTGGACACGGCTGTGATCTGAATACATTGCATCATATCACTGAGAGGCCAACACACACACACACACACACACACACACACACACACACACACACACACACACACACACACACACACACACACACACACACACACACACACACACACACACACACACACACACACAGGTGTTTGCCTCTCAGCAACATGATGCAACGTTTGCATCCTAGCAGCAGACAAACAAGTGTCCAGCTTCTTCAGAGTGGATCATTACAGGGGAGGGGGGCTTCCTCTCATCATGTCAAAGCTCTCACTAACAAGCTGAGTCACATACGTTGTTTTATTGTTAGTACTGCACGTTGAATCTTAAAACGTAATTGTTGATGGTTGTTTCAGTTGTCTAACTATTGTAAAACACACTACTGACTACTGAATGCTTTCAAGGTTATCGTGCTCACCTGAACACAAGTATAACATATGTAAATGTTCCTACACTTTCACGCATGGAATCAGTAAGTCAATAATTATTCTGTATGAGTGTATTTATATTTACTGATGTACTGAGAGTGTTGAATTCATTGAATATGTTATTCTTATGCAAGATTTTACAAGTATTGATTAACATGGTGTATATGCTAAGGATTATTCTCACTTTCATTATCCTTCAATGTGATGATGCTATATGCTGGCTAGGGCAAGTTTAGCCTTTTTCAGGTCTTCCTCTCCTTCCTTTACCGGTTGATCTTTGAATGCACCTCTCTTTTTGCTTTAGGTGCAAACACAAACATTTGAAATCTGAGTGAAATACTGTTTAAATAACTGAGAGATGCCAGGATTGTGGTGCATGTAGTTTATGAGAAGGTCTTATTTTGTGTACATCACTTCTTCAGTTACTTGGAATGTATATTTACTATTGTCAGGTCCAACTGTGAACGTTTGCCGTTCACATGCATGCAGGTTATTGTGGTTTTTAGTATTGTATGTGTTAGGACATGTTGCAGTTATATTCCGTCCTTTTATCCAGATACAGAAAGCCTGAGTAAGTCTGTGAACTCCTGTTTGAATAACTGAGACAGGCCAGATCTTTGCTGCATGTAGTGTATGTGGAGGTGGGATATTCCCAGCACAATATTGTCACGTGCAAACCTTGGAGATTTTACAATTCACATGCATGCAAGCAGGCTGATTTTGTATTAATATATGAATATTGAGTAACATACAGTATGTTGTTTTATTGTTAGTACCTTGACACAGGCAGATAATCATACTGTATAAATGTGTATACTGCTTCTGCATGCAAGTATTTGTGCAGTTATATGTATTTAACATAAGGAAATAATATATTCTCACTTATATTTGACTTACTTCAAATTAGATTATATTGATTATTGTCTGCTTGTGACCTTTCCTTAAGTCTTGCATCTCCTTTCTATAACTCTTGTTCTTTCTATGAATGTGATCTCTGTTTAGGCCGACTTGCAAACATGAAGGAAGCAATGTGTACGAGTGTGAAATAATGTTTAAATCAATGCGAATTACCATCTTGGTGGTTCATGTAGTTTATGAAACTTTTTTCCTGCCCTACATTTGTGTGCTTCCCTTCTCCAGCTACCTGAAGTTAAATTCAATATTGTCAAGTACAAGTGTTAGGAAGGTCGCAATTCACATGCACGCAGGCTTATTGTGTTTTTGTATTATTGTCGGTGTTGAATTACAACATTTTCCTTTGAACATTTCCGTTATTGTGCATTTATATTCCCCCTTTCTTCGCTTATATAGAGAGCCTGAATAAGTCTGAACTACTGTATGTGGAGGTGAGATTTTCCCAGATGTTATATTTAACATGGTCACATACAACTGTTGGAGATTGCATGCAGGCTGATTTTGTATTAATATCTGAAATCTAGCTAACAACATCTCATTAACAGTTCCTGTATTGTTCCTCTCTTTGGAGCAGACATGAAGAGCAACAGCAGCCTGAACCCTCCCTTCTTTCAGTTGACTCTGTTTGCAGACTTTGGGCCCCTCAGATGCCTGTTCTTCATCTTGTGTCTGTTCATCTATGTGACTATAGTCTCTGCCAACATGGTCATTATTCTGGCAGTGTTCCTGGAGAAGTCTCTGCATCAGCCCATGTATATTTTCATCAGCTGTCTGTGTGTAAACTCTCTGTATGGCTCAGCTGGATTCTTCCCCAGGTTCCTGCAGGACATCGTATCTCACTCTCATTTGGTCTCACGTCCATTATGCTTTATTCAGATCTATGTTATTTACACCTATGCTTGCTGTGAGCTGACCATCCTCACCATCATGGCCTACGACAGATTCATTGCCATCTGTCAGCCCTTACACTACCACAGTAAAATGACCTTGAAATGTGTGCAGGTTCTTGT